TAGGCCGTTGTTGTGGACCTCTGGAAAGTCGTCACATTCTCTACGCGCGCCGCAGCGCTTGCATGAGCCAACCAACAGTGGCACAGTAAGCCATTACCTGGCACGGCATCCTTTCCAGCTTAGCATGTGGGGGGATTGGCCGCATTCCCAAGCAATACTTCAATTACAAGCAAAAGATGGATTCACATGGATTGCTCCCCTGCTATGCTTATAGAATGCCGTCTTTTTAGGATATGCTTGCAATATTCACAATACGGAATACGGTCTACCTGCTACAGCTTCGTCAGCTTCGCAACGGCCTGGCCAGTGCCAACTAAAGATCATGTGCTTGGTAACCGTAGTAGGCACTGAATGCGAGCGCGTAAATATGTGGGTACCTCATTGAGTTAGTGAGGCGAAAGTGATTAGGATGCTGTTCTAGCCTGCAATCCACTATACCTTCACCGGTAGACTACCCTCTCAGTTAAGCTGTACCCAGATTTCTTTGTTCGGATATCATACCTCGGACGAATTCGTCCAAGAAAAAATATCCTGTCTTTAGAATTGCAGGGGCCAAAGAGGCGTCGCCCAAATACACGGTGACAGCAAAGCAATCCCACAGATACCCAAGAAGAGACCAACAACACGTAGATCATCGTTATGCAGAGCAGCTTCGCCTCAAAAGTCCCAGCCTCTGAGCGGCCACATGCAGCGTCAAAGGCGCATGCAGCAATGCCCAACTCCCTAACTCAAAGCGATCTGATCACATTCCTGCGGCTGTACATCAACGTCCGATCCACTTCTCCGCATGTACATTAGTCCCTCCATGGTTGATGTCAGCTTCACGTGGCAATTGGCCGACAAAGTACCGCCCCGGGCTTGGTTTTTTGTAAGGCCAAATGCTCGAGTCGAAGCAGGTACCGGGCGTTGGTCGGTGAGACGGCTCGTAGTAGTAAGTAGTAACCCTAGAAGCCAAACCATCCACCCATTCTACACCTAGTAGTACGAATGCTCAAAGACATCACAATGCCAAATGATCATATGGATACCACACACATACACACACACATCCAGCCTAAACCTGAGGCCATACACTAGACACGAAACATGCATGAATGCGCTGTGCATCCAAAAGTTGAACTGACCAAATCAACACCATCAAAACCACATACACCAACTCACCGCGACCACAACTCAGAACCACCGAATCGAGATACTCACAGCGCACACCTCTAACCCCCACACCAACAACCCCAAACGCAGATCCTCACCACGCCAGAACAAAAAGAACAAAAATTCCCGTCCATCCACTAACCTCCTGATCTACCACCCCCATCATCTCCTCTGACCACACGCACACCGCAACACGCCCAACAGCCGCGCGCAAATCATTCTTCCGCGGGAACCAATACACACGGCGCATACGGCGCAAGTGTCATGCATGCACTTTAACATACTGTGCTACACACGTTTTATTCCCTACGACGCCGCAAGTGGGGGAGGGGGGGGGGGCCACACACCCACACACATGAGGCTTATCCTGCACGCCCTACAGATGTCGCACAAAGCCCTTGAACAAGCGCGGTGCATAAAGGATGGTAGATTGTAAGAGAGAAGAAAAAAACGGTCGGGAAGGGGGGGAAAGAGGGATGGAGATTGGTTGGCTTTGCATTGGAGGGGGCCGAAGATGGGTGCTCCTTCGTTTGTGCGTGCGTGCGTGTGGTAGCATGGAAGGCTAGGTGAAGGGCTTCTATGTAAGGGATGGCGTGGTTTGGGGCTAGTGTGGGTGTATAGACCGCCCTCTCTTCTTTTTTTTTACGCTTGCAGATTACGGGATGGGGATCTGGTGGGTGGTGAAATGAAGGAGAGGATGTGGTGATCCTGGATTTTGGGGGTGTGTGATCAAGAAGGTATAGTAGTACCAATACTCGTAAGTTTTCTTTTTCTCTTTCGCCTCGGGAGCTGAGAGGATTCATTGTTTGAGGCTGCGCCGTATGCGGGTCCCGGGGTAAATGCATGCCGGCGTGTATGTACTTCGCCTCCACATTCCAGTGTCGTTTTGTTAGCAATTTTACTACAGTACTTCGATGGTGGAGGCTGACAACACCTAATATTCTGGCTGCAACTGCAGGGTTTGCATGCAGTGATGTCTCCGGGGCGACATCCGCGTTCTAGTGCACCCGCTGCTATGGCGTGAGCTGCGGCTCATGAAGGTCTCCCACGCGTGGTATGTCATTGACGTGCCGCCATCTGGCATGCAGGTAGCGGCTAACGAGTTGCTTGAGCGCCGACTTCGATTCGATTTGCTTCCTTGGACGGGATTTGGAAACTTCGACTCTTGCTCGGTTCCAATGTGCTGGATACGCAATATCTGTCAGTGATGAAAGGCACTTTGGAATCGAGACTCGCGTACATGCAATAGATGAAGCATGACAGATGATGATAACATTGTGGTATGACGCACGAGTTAGGAGGCGGTGAATCACGAAGAATATGTCATGCATGGTGAGCAATCGGGCTGTGACTTGAGATGCTCCCAGGAAACGGGCAAATCTTCATCCGCAGTTTTGAAATCGTTGTCTAAAACAAATCTTGTAGGCTGAGTTTATGTTGGCTTTAAGCGCTGAGTGCAAGGAGTACCGGAAACACATACTACAACGTTCAATACCTATGTCTCATACATGTTTCTGTTGGCCGATGCTCCGTTATTGAATGTGTTTTTTTTTAAAGCGAACCGACGTCTGATTAGTACATTCTCACCAAGTCGTTCAATGAAACTATGATGTAATCTAAATGCAATGTATAAGGAACTAACCTCACTTTTGAAGTGAGCGAGGAAAAACTAATCATCGATGACGAAAATGGAGGCAAGGCTACGGTATCAAGAGACTTCAGTGTGAAGCCAGTAATCAAAAGTACTTGGCAACTTCAGCTACTCAAGCAGATATGAGCATGCTAAAATTCATATCCAAATGTCCCAACTTCTTCATCAAAGTCTCGTGTGAACATTCTCGTCTCAAAACGCACCTGTCATTGTGATAATGAGTAGCGAAAACGGTGTGGAAAAGGCATACATAGGTATCGTAACCGTTCAATGGCAGTATGACGTGTGTTACCATATGCTTCTCTTACGGATAGCAGATAAAGCATGAAAATCCACTATATCCATCGAGCCTGGCATAATGAAAAACTGAGAAGCGTGTTCTTCGTAGCCTGATATGGTGAGGGCATGCAAATGCCAGATGTCATCACCACACAATAGAGCTGACAACCGGGAAGCAAGGCGAGAAGCAAAAATCAAAAGTACCAAATGGAGGCATGAGATGTTTGGAAGAGGTCAAGGTAGAAGAACGGAAAAGGAGCTAGGTTTTACTCGAGAGGATACTTATGCAAATGTTGACTGGTTTGCTGTCACGATTTCCCAGAAAAGAAGATGAATGAGAAGTTTGAGAGATTGCTTGAAGCCTCAAATGGAATGTTTTGTATCATGAGAAAGATTATGAGGACTCTGCTGGTGTATACTGCCCCCTTTTGTAAAGCTTGTGGTATTTCCGCGTACTCACTAAGTGAAGCGCACTCGCAAATCATGCAAGGGTTGAGGGTATAAGCTTCTTCCCGACTTCCAATGCGTCACTGCAGGATCGAGATGCTAGCTGTCTGTTTTGAATAGCAGTTTTCATAGAACGAAGACGTAGACATGTTTTACTCTTTATACTATATCCTGATAACATTGGTCAACTCTAATCCTTGGGGATGAAATGTCAACTTACCACCGTCGCGGCATATTCTTGGGTCTCGAAAGTAGTCAAGTGGGTATAATTTGGCTCTCGTCACTGAATGAACAATTGGAGTCTATTGGAAAAGCCCTCTGACATACGACGTGACTACCAGCGGCCTCTGCCTCTACCCCGGTCACGCCAGTCATCCCCACCTCCACGTCCTCTCCCTCCCCTTCCAAAGCCTGACTCTCGCTCTGGTGGTGCTTCGCCTCTTCTCCATTCGCCTGATGGTACACCTCCCCCACTCAGCCTCCTGTCATCGAATCTACCGCCTCCCCCTCTTCCTCCTCTTCCATAGCCACCCCAATCGCCTCGACCGCCGAAGCCATTTTCTCTGCCCCGTCCACCATACGAGCCTGCCGGTGGCCCCCTTCCTGGTCCAGATAGTGGTGGCGGCGCGGCAGGTACGCCGCCGTCGGGCAATGGTGGGAGGATCGCACATGCGATATAATCACCAATAAGGAATTTGACGTCTGCAAGGGTTCTGTCGGGGTCGCCGTCCAGCTGCTTGAGAGCTTCCGCAACACTTCCTCCCTCACTCATTTCCATGTCAACGTCATCATTCCTTGACGGAGCGCCTACTATGACAGAGCCTATGTCTCGCGATATAAACCGGCCTGGTCCGCCTGGTCGGTTGGAGCCTTGAATGTCCGGGTATACGAGTCGGAATGCGATGCGAGATCCAGCATATGGTTGTGGTAACATTGATGGTACTGCGCTAAGGAGAAGCTGACAGAGTTCGCGCAGAGTGCAGCTTTGCCATGTGTAGATTTGGACATTTGTTGGAAGACGTGGTAATGTCGGATCGAACTCATCTAACCTTGGTTGTGTCAGTTATATGATGGCACTTTGTATCATACTAGCCACTTGCCTGTGGAATGATCCTTGCTTGAAGAAGAGGCGCAATAAGAAAGGTGTGGTTGTTTGCCGGTCAATCTTCGCTGGGGCAGCCATGTTGGAGGTCACGGCCTTGTCGCAAACTAATGACGAAAGCACCCGGTGTGATCCAATATTGTTCAATGAAGTTTTATAGCATATGCGACAAAACAGAATCACAATTCGTTATCTTGGCATGCGATGTTGGTGGAGTACAAGTGAGGGAACGCGACGCGGAGAGCTTCCACTAGCGCCATTCCTCGGCAGAATCGCGCTGCTGATCAGTGAACTTCCATGTCGCATTCTACGTTCGCTCTTTATTTGCACTCGAGATAACGCCAGACTACGAACAACACAGTCGCCAAGATGGATTTCGCAAAACTCATGTCCGCACATATCAAAAAAGGGAAGGAGACGGCGGCAACATCGGAATCAAGCGACAAAAAGTACCTCAAGCGCAGCGAAATTGAGGCCCAAAGGCAAGCGGCATATCGGGCTGAGCAGGAGGCCGCAGAGAAGGCACGACTGGAGCGACTGGAGAAGAAACGCAAAGCCGAAGAAGATGAGGCTGAGAAGGAGGCACAACGACGGGAGAAGCGGATGCGCATGGCGGAGGAAGCAAGACGGATTAGAGAAGAAGAGGAAGAGGCAGAAGAGCGGCGGAGAAGAAAGCGCTTAGGCTTGCCAGATCTACCACCAAAGAAGAAGGAAGGCGAAGGAGAGGGTACACCTGTGCCCGAAGACGAAGATATTGAAGATGAAGAGTTGATCGCAAAACTGAGAGCCCTCGACGAGCCAGCCCGAGTCTTCGGCGAGACACACAAGCAACGCCTAAAGCGATACAAGAAGCGTGTCGGCGCAGACAACCTAGCAGCAATCATGACCGACGGTCCGATCCCGACAACCCTACAACTAGTACCAGAGAAGGACATGAAGGTCAGCTTGCAGGTACCAAAGGACAAGGAGGGCCGAGAGTTCCTCTTCAGGCAACTCGCAAGTTACTTCACAATGGTACTGAAGGAATGGGACGTGACGCTTGCGCGCCGAGATGCAGAAGTCAAGGAGAGTTATCAAGGAAAGCAAGCTTACGCTGCCATGGTGCAAGCGCGCGAGAACATGCGTCCGCTGTTCAAGAAGCTGGAGAAGTTTGACCTCCCAGACAGCATCATCGAACCGGTTGTAGAGATTGTGCATGCAGCACAAGAAAGGCGATACGTGGATGCGAACGACGGATACCTACGACTCAGTATTGGCAAGGCAGCATGGCCGATTGGTGTTACGATGGTGGGTATTCACGAGAGAAGTGCACGAGAAAAGTTGCACGAGAGCGACAAGAATGCAGCACATATCATGAGTGACGAGATTACACGGAAGTACCTGCAGAGCATCAAGAGGTGTCTCAGTTTTGCGCAGACAAGATGGCCACCGACGGATCAGTTGCAGCTCATGGGTTAAAATTAGTATCTGCTTAGGTGCATGTAGATAACGAAACCACCAAATATTCCCCGTACTTCTGCATACTATAATTTTCACCATGCGCCATCTGTATTCTGAGTCTTCAAAATTTCAAACCACAGACGATGACGTACTTGGGGAATACGTGAAGCGATGCCTCCACGCGTGAGCACGTGCGGGGCAATTGGCAGAACTTGACATCGTCCAATCGTCGTGCATCTCCACTTTTACTATCAACGCTCTCTTCACCTTTCTTCTTCACCTTCAATAAGAGCTTGACGACTGGAAAATTCAAGTCAGTCTTCTCTTAAAGTGTTGTTGTCGCCATGCACGAAATCGTCACTTTACAATTCGGCACGCAAAGCAATTATCTCGGAACGCACTTTTGGAACACTCAGGCAAGTACAGAATTCCATTGGCCCATCATGTGTCAATATATTCATGTTTTTATTTGTTATGTATTCTTTCCTAGATGTGTACCGAATGTCTTATTGCAAAACTTCGCTCTCATATACCCCACCATTACTTCATTCATGCACTTCGCACCATTCATGCACAGTCTCCTTAAACTTTTGACGGAGTAGGTTTTATCCAGTTTTCTGACTTTCTAAAAGGAGTCGTACTTTACATACCCACCAGAGGATGAATCGCCCGTCAACCATGACATTCTCTTCAGGCCTGGTTTGGCTCCGGATGGCTCAGACACCTTTACTCCAAGAACCCTGATATATGATCTCAAGGGTTCTTTCGGGAGTATGCGGAAAATAAACGCACTGTACGAGGCCGAAGACGACCGAAGCATTCTGGATCAACCTGGTGTTTGGCCTTCCAAACCTATCGTTCAACGTGCGTCTGAGACCATCCCGCAATCAGCCTACCAAGAGCATCTTAACGCTGGTCTCGAACCACTTCCACTCAGCACATCCTCAGTTCGGTACTGGTCTGATTACAGTCGCGTCTACTATCATCCCAAATCCATCGTCCAGTTGTCAGAGTTTGATGTCAACGATAAGCTTATGCCTTTCGAAAACTGGGATGTTGGTATGGAACTTTTCGAGAAGCTCGAAAGAGAAGTAGACTTGGTTGATCGAGATCTTCGTCCATTTGTCGAGGAATGTGATGGAATCCAAGGGTTGCAGATTTTTACTGGCGTGGATGATGCTTGGGGTGGTTGGACTTCCGGATGGCTCGAAAGATTGAGAGACGAGTATGGAAAGATGAGCATCTGGACTTGGGGCCTTGGGGATCATGGTGCTAACAACAAAACCCCGAGGGTATGGTGGCTGATATGGGATATCTAAACATCACTGACGACATATAGGAACAACGCCTAAAGCAGATCGCCAACTCAGCTCGCTCACTCCAAGTGCTTGGCGAACAGTCCTCGGTTTACGTACCGATATCGAATACGCCAGCTAAAGTCCCAAGTTATCTAAAATATGACTCAACATCCCCGTGGCATGTAGCAGCCTTACAGGTTGTGGGAATAGAAAGCATGACGATATCCTCTCGATTACGTACTACATTGGGCGGACGAGGTACACTTCAAGACCTAGAAGACACCATCAACAGTACTGGAAAACGACGTATAGCGAAGTTTGAGATGAGCATCGCGGACCCAAATGTACTTTCAGACAAGGCTGCTGATTTAGCCGAATCCATGGCAAAGCTTGGAACAACGCGATCAAGACAGACTAGTGAAGGTGACGATGAACTAACGGAGTTTGATATTGATGTTTTCACCCGCGATTACCGGACCGCAACTGGAAAAGCAAAAAAAGAGCATGTATTTGGGAGGGCAGAGGCTTCTCGCGGAGAGTGGTCGTTACCCGATGATGGCGAGAACGATCCTCACGATAGGTTCAACAATGGACCGGCAGTGCAAAGGTATGTTCATTATTTCTTTCCGATGAACACTGCTCCCTGTTGTCATTGAATTTATTTACGCGTCTAAAGAAACGGTGCTATAATCTACATGCGCTTACAACGACTAGATATACTGCTCCTCTTCTCTTCCCCTTACTCGACAGCTTCCCCAAGTCCATGTTCGAAGTAGGATCGGGGCATACTGAGAAGCTTGCTGTTCACGCTGGGCTCACGACAAGTACTGCTGTCGCGGGACAGATAAGAACACTCGAGCCGATCATAAAGCGCATGATTAATATCGAAGAAAGAGAGGCGCTCTCTAATGGCCTTCAAGTTCTTGCAGAGGAGTACGATGAAGGCTGGGATAGTGGTTCAGATAGCGACGACGATGAATAGTCGGGTCGTATGCGTATACTTTGAACACCTTCTTTCCACAAATTTTATGCTATACACTTCTTTTCCTAAGGATAGTACTGGGTGCAGACATGAAGTACGCAGTGACAATCGCGAGTCAGTCATTACTAGGTATGTAGCGTCCCTAGTTATGCTATTCTCTGCGCATGCACTAGGACCTTCACATCACCACCCATATCGCACCGAAATCAGTGTGCACATTCCTTATCCTAGAAAACAGATGTCGACCTGCAGCCAAGATCGTACGAGGCAAAGGAAAGATCGACTTCCTACCACCATTCACACACAACCTCATACTACCTATTAGACGTGTCGCGTCGTATACCATTACTGCATCGTATACCTCATTTCACTTCAACAAAAAAACAACCCCTGAACAACCCTCATCAGCCAACACGCCAGCCTACAACCCCATGGCACAATCCGCCCCAGCACCTGCTGACCTGTGCCCGCAGATCGTAGTATAAACCGTAATCTTAAGAGAAAGAAAAAAACGACCCCACTATTAACCAACATGACCTTTTTTTTATCCATTTGTACCCACTCACAGTCGCGAGGTGACCACTTTTTGTACCCCTTTGACCGGACGAAAACAAATATCCGGGAGTCATTTCATAATTAAAGAACTGGCAAGAGACCTTGTTTTTCTTCGGAAAATCCGGGGTTTACAAAAAAGGGAGGGAGGGAGGGGGGATTATCAGGTACAGTAATGCTTACTCTGTCATTGCGATCGTCTTGGCAACAAGGCTATCAACGAAAAAAAAAAAGAGTTTATTGAACCAGGGCGTTTATCATTCGCGAGCGCGCGCGCATGTGTTTGTGTGTGTTTATCTCGGTGGTTTGCTTTATGGGAGACGCGTGTTCGTAGCCCTTGGTGCCGCCCCCCCCCTTTTTTTTAGACGGTCAGACTGGTCGCCCAGATCGTGGCTGCGGTGACATTCTACTCCTGAGAAGAAAGGAAAAAAGGGTCGGGGTTGTCGTATTTGGTAGTTAAATGTTAGTAAGTAGTATCGTTAGGAATGGGCTGTCGTTTAAAGAGGGGTACGATGATCGACTAGACGCTCTCTCTCTCTCTCTCTCTCTCTGTGTGTGTGTGTGTGTGTGTGTGTGTGTGTGTGTGTGTTCAAAGTGAACATATATGGAGATCAGCTCGCTATGCTATGCGTGATGTGCAACATGGAGACATCATTCGGCTGTCCATCGGCCACATAGGTGACATCCCGGACCATAACCCCAATATAGCCCGGAAGAGCGGTTGCTCCGCTAAACTCATTCCGTCCCTGCATTTCCTTTTTTGGCACCGACGAGCTCGACTGTCCGGGATGATGCTGCCAAGGCTAATTTCCAGGACCTTGTTGCATCTCAACGGTCAAGTGCGAGACAGTGTTCGATGCTCACTTTTTGTTCTTGCCTAATGCGGTAGGTTGGTTATACGTCATACCACGACACGGAAAAGTAAAACCCTAACATGAGACCCCCCCGTTAACAAGGCCGAAAAGTTGCATGGCCTACGCAACTTCTTCTCCACAATGATGTTTGGGATGCAAGACAAGTCCGGGATCTGTGCAAGATGTAGGCGCAGATAACCTTTTTTTCTCTTCACTTCTTGCTATTTATATATATGTCCATTCCAACAACCTGCTGTACACTACACTAATCATAAACTTCATGACCTATTGATTCCACATCTTACTGCATATATACCTATCTCTCCAACGCATGAAAAAAAATCATAACACCATGAACTCATCAAACACAATCCCCGCAGCAACAAGCGGATCCCGCTCAAAACTCCTCTCGGGGAACTTGATATCCTTCCTCAGCAAACCCGCGCTCAAGCATCCCCAGCAAGCGCTTACGGTGCAACTGTTCAATGCGGAGCAGAAGGCCAATGGCGATGCTGCGAATACTACGCGGCCGAGATTAGTTTCTGGGCAGCGAGAAAAGGAATGTGGCGAGTAGTTAGAAGGAAAGATGGAGTGCGATGAGCGAGGTCGATGGGAAGGAATCCTGCCAACGACTATGCCGCTACGATGCCCGTATGATCCAATTTGGCAGAACGAAGTAGTCACTGGGCCTTTCTGGATTATACCCAAGACAGCGCTATGATTACGGGGTTAGTGAAGTTGAGCTTGACGGTGGATACGGAGGTTGTGCGGGGTATGAGTTGTAAGGATTAGGCGGGGGAGGGGGGGGAGGGGAAGAGTTTAGGATGAAGAAGTGCTAGATGGATTACACAGTCCTGTATATGGATGCCGATGAAGTGAGCAAGTAAAGGGAAGGGGTATTGAAGAAGTAATCAACAATTTAACATATGCATGATATTCATAAAGCTTCCTAGACAACACCAACCTTTTTGTCTTCCCTAACCCCTCTCATCCATTCATCTCTCCATGAGACTTGTAATCCACGAATATTTGATGAATGTACCTAAACAAACACCAAACACCCATCCCGATTACTAATCCTCTCATCAAGATTAATCTCCCTACGCCTCCACTCCCCACGACTCTCGAGCTCAGCCTCGAGCCTCTGCCCGCCACCAACCAACCTCACATTCCTTGCCGACGACGCAAAGCCACCAGAGCTACCACCGCCACCGCCTCCGGTTGGAATCCTCAAGTTCTGGCCTGGCCAGATTTGATCGGGGTTGGAAATGTTGTTGTGTCTGGCGAGCTCATCAAAGGAGCAGTGCGAGTAGCGCGAGGCAATAGCGCGGAGCGTGTCGCCTTGCTGGACGGTGTAGGTGTTTTCGCTACCGGAGCTGCGGTCGGTCGAGGAGCCGGACCAGCGGAAGGAACCGTCGTCGTTGGCGAGGTAGCGGTTCAGCGCAATAGACGAGGCTTGGACTGAGCCGTCGGTGCGACGGCACTGGGCGTGCAGGACGTAGTCGCCGTGGGCGTCGAGACGGATGTCTTGGGACGAGGCGGAGAAGTTGCCGCCAAAGTCGCCGGCAGAGCGCTCTTGGTTGTGCGATTGATGATGTGCGAAGCCGGCGCCGGCGGCAGCGCCGGCAGCGGCACCTCCGCCGTATTTACGACGGCGTTCTTCTTCTTCCTCCCAGCGGCGTCGCTCTTCTTCTTCCTTTTTCTTTTCCTTGTGCTCGTCCCATCGCTCTCCGACGGCGTCTTGGGTCTTGTGGCCGGCAAAGGCACCGGCGAGGGCTCCTACAATGGCGCCGGCGGTACCGTGACCAGATTTGCCGCCTAGGGCGTGGCCGCCGTAGCCTCCTGCTGCTGCACCAGCAAGGCCGCCCATGATACCACGCTCACCCTCTGGGTCACCTTCTCCGCCATACTGGTTCTGGTAGCCTTGGTTGTGCGAGTTGCGGCCAGAGTTGGACGAGTGCGTGGCGGTAGAGGGGTACTGCTGGTACTGAGGAGGAGCATTGGCATCATATCCGCCCTGTTGTGGGGAATAACCTTGAGGTGGTGGTCCTCCTTGTCCACCGCCACCATAGTACTGACTGGCTTCTCCTCCCTGGTAAGGAGGCTGTTGCCCGTATCCGCCTTGTCCGCCATTGTACTCATTCTGTCCGTATCCTCCACCTCCACCTTGGTTGTACCCGTATCCAGACATGCTTCCTTATTTCTTTTTTTTTGCTTTGTTACTCCTCGTCTCCGATTTCGTACCCAAAGTCTTTCTTTCTCCTCAATCGAAAACCGGGTTACCGGAACGAATGAAAACGTGTGGTAGTATGCGGAACCGTTGAATCGGTTTCACAGGGAAAGCAAAAAAACTTAATCGTAAATGCGGTCTGACCTTGTCTTGGTCAATGGGGACAAAGGTAAGAAAAAGAGTTTACAAAGTGACAATGCAATCTGTCTCTTGTTTAACCGTAATTATAGGATAGAAAGAAGGAAACAAAAGCTCACACGTGTCACCTTCGCCAGACGACCGCTTTCTTATATTCCAACCCCTCCTTCTTTACCCCACCCGACCAAACCTTCCAAAGAAAGCACACCATGGCTACGTCGTCCGGAGGCGCATAAACGCGCCCCACAATCACAGCCACACCGGGTCCCGTCGTCGTCGTCAGTCACCGCCACTCTTGGCCGGTCTAAACCGAATAAAGGTGGAGAGAGTCGCATCACTCGCAAGCTCGCAGCCAGACAGCGTCTAGGAAGGCCACAAGGCCAAACGCCACGCCTGCGCCCCCATGGCCCAATCAAGCGCCCAGAAGTGGGGATGCTAAATCGGGGGCGCAGCGCCACGAACGGCTGACCGCCACGTTTTGCGGCGTTCTGGCGCTTCGGGCGCAATTTTGTTGACGTGCTTTTGCTTTGCCTTTGCCCTTTTTGCCAATACTACCCGTAACTTACACCTAGCTAGCTCAAGTGGGGTGTGTTTTCGATTTGCCCAAACACCGGGGCGGCTTGCATGCTTTGCTAGAAAGCTTCAGACGTTCTCACCCGTTGTGACTAAAATTCGCGAGCGGTGAAAGTAGAGACACCGGATCTCTTGTTGAGGCGGTGTTTTGTTGTGTGCATTAATGCCGGAATTTAGAGCGTGCGTGCGCTCCGGGGGTGTGTCATATGCGACTGGGGAATCCCTTTCAAGGGTTTTCCATGATGGTGATGTTTATAGTAACTTGTTCGTATTATTAACAACAAGGGGACGGAGATCAAGCCGAGGTTTTGCCATAGATTTGGGTGTACACTCCGATCCGATCGGATCCGATGTTTTGTTGTCACACTAGGTATATTGGTTTACACTATACATTACACTGTAGATGTTTTGCGGGAGAAAAAAAATACACTACGCACGACGCGCATTGTTGAATGCGATTGCAAGGGGGGACAGATTTGCTTTTTTGTGGAACGAGATTGTTTTGTTGGAATTAGATCCAGGTGTCTAGTCTAGATTCTTCTTCGCAACCCTGTCTTTTGCATGCAAAAAAGGGCGCCATAAAGACTGACTAACTGAGAAAACGAAAAAGGAAGAAACGCCCAGATGATGCAAGTTTTGCGCTTGTAGATGAAACGATGATCAAAAGATTCAAGGAGAGACATGACAGCGTGAGTGTGGGTAGAAAACAGGATGAATGATTACGAAGGAGGTGTATGTACAGAAAAGAAAGGAAAATAAAAGGACAAAAAGATAACCCAAGAGTTATGGAAGAAGGAAAAAAGAGTTTATGTGTTTTGATATAGATACAGGCAGTCGACTGTGTCGATGTTGAGGGTGAGCGCGCGCATTGTTGTTTGGCTTGCCCATGGTCGTGCTAGCCTTGCGTATCAAGCTAGTGCGGCGCCAGTTTGGGTCAGCGGAGGGCCTAGGGGTGCGGGTGCAACCAAGCGATTGCCTGGATTGCGTTTGTAAGAGTAGGCCAGCGAAGTGATGTAATGAGCGGTTTCTCAAAAGACGACATGTGACATGATTAGACGTGCAATACAACGCTTCAATACGTAAAGGCTTCCTCTATGAAATCAACCGAACCCTCGGTAAGCAGTGGCCGCACTGCGTGTCGTACACCGTCGGCCATGCCGCCAGACGCGCACACGGTCACGGCCATGGCACCGACGCGGTGCTTGGCCTCCTCCTCCAGCAAGCTCCTCATGTTGGGCCTGCCGCTGTACATCTTGACAGTGTCGCTACTGCTCTCGACACGACCCTTTGGTCTGGAGATGAAGAGCTTGATGCGGAGACACTGCTTGCGACCCTTCATGCGGAGGACTTCGTCCATCCATGGGCGCACCCACTCCAAGCAGTCGGGTGTGGGTACTGTCCAGATGAGGACAATCTTTTGGGTGGCAGTGGTGCCGTTGTTGAAGCCATTGACAAGGTGCTTGAGGTACATGACCTGGTGGGTGATGCCTACACCTCCGGCAAACAGCACGCAAGTACCGTACGAGTCAAGGCTGTGGTGGCCGCCGTATGGGCCTTCAATGAAGCCCCATGTGGTGAATTGCTCGTTGGGGCTCTTGCTTGCCTTTTCGTACATTTGACGGGTGAGTCCGGTACGGGCACGGCAGATGAGACTGATTTGTTTTGATTTCCTGGGTTGGCCATTGATCATGGTGACGTCGCCTTCCAGAGTGGGAAGCGTCATCTCTTTGGATTCATCGGTCAGGGTCGCAGCCCAGGCGACGGAAAATGGATGCGAGGACCAGAGGGAGAGGCGAGGCATCCACATGTGCACGTGGCATCCGGGACGGGGGGTCCATTCGCGGACCATGTTGATGGTTAGACGGACAGCTTCGCCAGGCATGGCCTCGACGGTGATGGACGAGCGTTGCTTGAGGCTGAAGCCGTAGTAACAGATGGAGCACAGGCGGAGGAACCACTCGCCTGCCCAGAAGATGAAGATGAGGTACATCCATGGGACCTGGGGGAGAGTGTGCAGCTCCAAGTGCTTGTACAAGCCGAGGAGAGCAGCAATGACCATGACACGGTGGATGTTGAGAAAGGTCTCGTAGAAGGCGTGACGGAATGGTGACCAGGCCTGGATGCCGATGAAGGTGAAGGCGACAGTTCCGACCATGCCCCATCCGTAAGAGCCCTCGGTGTGGAGAGCAGCTACGACGGCGTGCCATCCACCACCAGCCTTGGTGTTGTACAGCCAAGCGGCAGTGTGAACAATGGCCTCGGCAATGGTGATTCGGGCAGCCCAGCGGTGGAAAAGATTGAAATCATCGTACGAGACCTGGAGAAGAGGGATAAGGGGGTTGTTGCGGAGGGCGAAGAGGACAGTGGGAATGAGGTTGAGGGCGGCGAGGGTTCCAGAGCGTCCGCGAAGGGCAGCGAGCGTCTCCTTGTAGTCGAGGACGTCGTAGGGGAGAGCAAGGCACCATGCAACGTTGAGGCCGACGTAGATGAAGAGCATGATGGTGTGCCATCGTCCAGGGAGGGTTCCGTTGTCAATGGCGCTGCTGATCTGGAACTGGGCGTTGTGCTTCTTCTTCCAGAGCGGGGCGACGAGGATATGGCGGTTTAGCCAGGGCCACCAGCTTGTTCGGTTGGTCTCCCAGTACTTTTGGCGTGGGTTTCCCATTGCGGTGATGTGTCGGCTGTGCTTCCAGACCATGTTGGAAATGCGAAGAATGAGGAGCATGCCAGAGATGCCTACGAGCATGTAGAGGAAGGTGTCGACCCACATGAAGTTGCCGACTTGGTCCACACCAGTGAGGCCATACGAGTACTTGAGCTCCTCAAACTGGGCGGCATTCCAGTTGGAGAGGAGATGGCGCTTGGCAGCGGGAGCGGGAGCGGAGAGAGACATGTTGGCGGATAGTAAGAGGGAGGAATTGCGCGATGAGCGAGCGTTGAGGCGCACTACCAGGTGCTCGTGAGTGAGGGTTGGTGTTGTTGTGAATGTGGTTGCTGTGTAGCTAGGTGGTCCCACGGGCGCTTCGTAGTCGAGAGGCGAAGCGATAGGCGTTGGCGGAATGGGAGAAGGACAAGCGTGGTCACAGGAAATGCATTACAAATGGTAGTGGGCTCGCAGCGGTCGTGTATGCACAATGGTGTCAGAGGGGCGGGAGTGGCCTGCACAGTATCGGGCGTGAATGAACGAGGGTGTGTGTTGTGAGTGTGTTGAAGAGATTGATAGTCGCAACGGCGCGGTTGGGGTGAATGGGGTCTGGGATGGTGTGACGGGCGACGGGGGTTAGGTGAAGTTAAAGCAAGCAAGCAACAGTTGGCAGGGAGGGTGTTTTTTGGTTCCCGTAGCGAGTGAGGAACAGTGGAAACGAATGTGGGCAGAGAGCCAGACAGCAGGGACGGCGAGCATGAGGTTAGAGGGGGAGCGAGGGAAACAGTGGATATGAGGTTCGCGCGAGGGGGTGGCCTGGCCGGCAGCGACCAGGGGGAGGCGCCGGGGCCAGGCGGACGATTGGCTTTGCCTGGTCCGACCAGCTGCTAGCGGGTGAAACGGGGCGGCGGAGGCTGCGAATGCTGGCCACTCAGGCCCGCGTGCCTGGAAGCGCCATGAAACCAAGGCCCCTCAGCCCACCCTCGCCAGACTGCCCATCCATCCTATCCCGACCACCCATCGCCATCCCACATCGGCACCGCCGCCCAGCCTGCACACGCCCTCTCACGCGTGCCGACTCCCGGCCGTGCTTGTGTGCTGCTGCTTCGAATTCTACTACTCATACTGTCCACGCTGTATCAATCCATGTCCACCCTCGCCTGCGCGTGCCAATCAGGCCGCGGTGCCTGGCGATCCACACACACGCAGACGCCGCGCCACAGACACTAACTGCCCACGGCCAACACGGCCATGAGAATGATTATGATTGCTACTGACCATACCGATGACGATGATGACAATGACAATGACGATGCCATGATGGGCCGACGGGCAATGCGCGACGCGCGACGACTCCATCAAACACCATGGTTCCCTCTCTCCAACTCTCTTTCCCTCTCACACGCACTATCACCCGCCACACCCGTCTGTTTCATCCCTCTTTCGCGCCCTCTTCTGCAGGAACTGTGCAGGCCCCGACGCCATGCCCGGCCGATGACATGTGCGGCTCTAGCCTCGAGGCCAACACCAAAACCGTCGTCCAAGCGAGTCAACTTCATCACATATCCTGGCGGAGATCGCACTCATCTGTTCAGGTAAAACGGCTTTGATGCACCCCTGGGTTCATTTTGACATGTTCCTCACGCTGCCGAGGCCGTCGTCGTCCATGTCGCGTAGAAAATCTCCACCATGGCGCGAACCGCCAGCGGGCGTGCTGACAGCTATTCACACGCCTAGTGCACTACCAAGGCCGAGAGCCGGCGCTGGGCACGACACGATGCATTTGCCCTGTGCAAGAGAGCTGCCAGGCCAGCTAACCGGCCAGCAGACCAGCAGGCCAGCAACCAAGCCAGCAGTCTGCGCCACGTACCTACACGGCCACGCCTACGTAGTAGCAGTGACTAGCATACTAGCATACCCTCACCACTCAACAGCCCTCGTCCCTACTTGCCACGAGGCCGCCGCTGTCGCCACCCTACGCCTTCTACCCTACGGCGCTGCATTCTCTGCCTGCTAGTGTAAGTATACGCTCTTCATGCACACCACAGTCAACCAATGCGCGCGCTTGGTTCGCAGCGGCACGGTCGCCCCCCACCCGCACGTGCTTGTCACAACCCATTGCTGTCTCTGTCGGCTCACCCACGCCCCCTTCGCCGCCACACTGGCCGGCGGGTCGAGACGGACCAACGTCCTCTTTTCATGAATAGCCCTTCTCGACGGCCACGCATGGCCAACCTGGGGGAAATTGTCCCTCGGTGCCCTCCTCTTCCCAGCCCTTGTTTACCCGGCAATCGGGTCCGACCTATTTGCTTCTGCCACTCAACCTCGGAATACCAAGTCTTCTAGGCAATAAACCTACAAGATTACCTCCATCCTAGCTACAATCTAGCTCATCCTCGCACACCCACACCCATACCCCAAACAAAACAAAGCAAACACAAGTCCTGTATTGCTGACTGTCCGCTCCTCTGCCTGTCTGGCTGCATCCATGCTGCCATTGCATCCCGCCTGCGACGCTTGCCTCAACTGCATCGCTTGACCGTGGTGCTGCTTCGGCGTGAGCCAGTTTCAAAACACCAGCGCCGGAGCGTCGCTCTCCTTCTGCCGTGACTCGGCTCACTTCACGATAACGTTGAAACATTTGTTCATGCGCCGCCTGCTTGGACCCCACCCGCTGTCAAACAATAGCGTGTACCCTGCCAGGCGGCATAACGCTTCTGGTAATCCTTCACAAGCCACGCTTCAGCTCGTCGACGTTGGCCAAAATTCGACGCAGTGACTGGAAAAATCGGTATAGTCGTCGAATCCTTCACATTGCGGTTCCACCCATGTCATTTCCGCCAAACCTCGGGACCCGCTCACTTCTGGGCTCTTCAATGCATGGTTTTAGAGTGTGGCGCTTCCTCCGCCATGCGCTATCGTTTGGTGTAACACATTGACAGCGACACGCTTCCACGCCCAAGGGCATCCTCACTCCGAATCTAAAACAACGCTTATTGTAGCGTATGCTCTTGTGTACACGACGTAAGCATTGTCCACATGCCGGCTTTAATATCTTACAATTACAGCAGAATCCTTGTCAGCTGCGACATCACCACCATCGTCATTGTCACCGCCATCTCCCTCCACCCCACTCCATAGCGCACAAAACGAAGCTCCAATTCACTGTACATACACCTGTGCCAGCATTGATCCCCCGATGCGAGACCACGATCTGGACAATCACTCGGTCTGGGACCGAGCGTATGAGCTTGCCGAGAAAACTCCAAGCCGCACAGCCCTCTCAGGTCCCCACGATCAAATGATACGTATCCGCAGTGACACCCGTTGGAGTCCCAGTCAGTCGCTGAACCGACCGACCCAAAAATCTGGCCCGCTCTCGCCCTTCGCTAACTGATTTCTGCAAGGAAAGAACCTAAAAAAGCCCACCGACTCTCCCCGGGCCTGTTTTCCACATGAAACCACTAACTTCAGCTCCACCAATCTCCGTTCTTGGCATCCAACCGCCTGGAGGAACCTTCCCTACATGAAACACGTTTGCAATCTCTACACCGTATACAGACACCCATCAAGCTTTTTTGCCCTTCAGCTTGTTATGCTGTCGTGTGTAGATTGCCAAGCCAATTGTCAAAATCACAAGCAACTAACCAACAAAACAAGATTGATACTAATATACATCCCGTCTTGGTAAACCCCATATGTGCTTTCAATATTTTTTTTCTCCTTCTCCGCCTCTTTCTTCAATCTTGTTTGCAAATCCCTCGTTCGCCTCATACTACTAGATCCTTGCCGCCGACCGTTGGGCGACCTTCTTCCGAAGATTCTAGATCTTATTGCCTAGGAAGAAATATTAATTCAAGACGGGTTCTCCCTCCCTTATCCCGTTCGCCTGGTTCGCGGCTGAAACGTAGGAACTGCACAATTGACTTGGCGCTTAAACTATTATGAGATGCGTAGATATTGGTTGCGGCAGAGACAACCTATCTCGTCCGGTCACGTTAGTGTCATGAGAGAAGGATGCAGTGGCAATGGGATAACATGACTACATACGTCCGTATGTATGTACGCTTTCGAACCACACTCTGCTGACTGAGGGGCGTTGTCATGTTTCGTATCCACCAAGGTGTTTGTGTGCCGTCCCGTGTCATCATTCCTTGGCTCTTTTTTTTTGGCTATACGCCCAGCTACGTGCACACCACCTATTTCCCCCCCGCCCTTCACCGCTTTCTCTCGTTGCTCAAGACCTTGATTCATGGCACACTCCTAGTCCAATATCACAAAAATGCCCTCCAAGCCTTTCCTTCCCCCCTACATTATGAAACATCACCTATGAATAGCGAGATGTACATTTGAAATCTCCCGATCCAATCACCCACAAGAAGAAACCCAAAATAAAACATTTTTTTAAACAACAGCTGATATGGGTATGTTCTTCTAATTTGAAAACTGCGTTATACAACGGTTTCTATATACGAAATTAAAACAACAAGTGTCGTCTACTGCGCATGGCCCGGCTGTGAAGAAGAAGCTCCACCAGCTGGTGTTCCAGCGGAAGCAGCAGCAGCGCCGCCCTCAAAATTGATCTGAGCAAGGGCATCGCGTCTCCAAGCGTCGTCATCTGCGCCCTCGCTGTCGGTGCTATCACGATTTGCTACTCGGAGACCACCACCGCCGCCCCCTCCGCCTGCACCTGGGGCTTGGCCTTGATTTCCGCCATATGACGCATTACTCGCGTACTCGTTATGTTGTAGTTGCTCATGAATATTGCCGTCTTCATGATATCCTCCTGCATATGACGGGGTGTCGCCATAGTACTCGCGGTTGTTCCACATATTGTTGTTGTTGTTGTTGTTAGCTTGGTCGTGGTCGTCTACGGACCCGGATGAAGGACCCGGCCGCAGCACATTTGGCACGGGGCCGCTGAGTCCGCTGCCCCCGTCTTCAGATTCGTATTGTTGTTGATGCGGATGATATGCGTTTTGATAGTTCATGGGTTCGTAGGCGCCCATCTCGTTCATTTGGCCTTGGTTTTGCATGCGCGGGTCGGCAAGGAAAGAGTGCCGGTTGTCTGTTGGCGTACGGTCACTGGGATCATGCAGTTCTACGCCTTGTGGTGGACCTTGTGGTGGCGTGTTGGACATGCTAAATTGGTGTTGTTGCTGGGGGTGCATGCCTTGCTGTTGGGCGTACATACCGGGCTGTTGGTATTGTTGCTGCTGATGTGCAAGAGATAGATTGTTCATACTCGCCGTCATGCCCATGAGACTCGGGGCTCTTGTCGACCCGGCCTTGATACTTGCTGGGCCGCCCATTCGCCCAAGCATACTTCCACTCATGCTAGCCCGTGGACCAGGCTCTTCCGTGATCATCATCTGAGAATCCTGTCCATTAGGATCCCGTATGCTGTACTGGGCTATTGTGCGCATCTTCCGCGTGACCCATCCTGCGAGAATCTTTCCGCGTTGCTTCTCGCCCAGACGAGACCGGTGGAAGTCGCCCTTTTGCACGAACGAGACAATGTCAATAACCAGCTGATGCTCGTTCAAAATTGCATTGACAATCACCGGCACCATGCTGGCGAGAAAGTTGCGTCGGAAGATTTCCACAACGACAACAACAAGCCCACCTGCTTGGAAAACAGCACTATGAAGTGTTAGTGAATATTTACCAGGTAATAACGAACTAAAGAAACGTACCAGCCTCCAGGGACAATGTTCCGGTGACAACGTTCGACAGACTGCTCAATGTCCATAGAGAAATGATTCAATCCGTTGACTTCAAACGTGTCGCCTATGCTTCCAAGAACGAAAAGCACCTGCATATCAACAGGCGCACCGTTAGGCCCAATGGGCCGTGTCACGCTGTGCAAAAATCCCAAATCGCCTGTACGAACATATCGCACATTTGGATCTCCGTCAATCGTTCTACCGTTGAAGCGCTCTGCATCCAAGCGCTCTTTCGACATGTAGAAGCTATAAGCGTTCGCCTCGGACTGCACCCAGATCTCGCCGTACTCGCCGTTCAAGCACAGCTGGTTTGTCTCTGGGTTGACAATGGATATTTGTGTACTCACTGGCACCATGCCCGAGTCTTGGACGAGCAAAGAGTTGGGCTCTGTGTCGGGGTCAACGGGCATGACAAGGCCACGTCGCAGAGCATGAACATCGAGATGGAGCTCGACTGGCTCAATGCACATGTATGATCGTGATGCAACCATTGGATTCAACACATGCGAATAGACAGTGTTGATTGCGGTTCGGTCTAAGTTGGCTGGCGCAAAGTGCACACGCACTCTTTCATCTGCATCTAGTTAGCAATCATGAAAGTCCTCTCATACAAACGTTCACTTACAAACGTCAACGCGTGGTCTTCCGTCAGTCGCAATCATGAGATTCTTCAGCTCGTGTAGAGCCATGCTCTTGCCAGCCCCGCGTGCAATGGCGTGGTCCAACATTTGACTCGTTGCATATGCATCCTTGATCTTGTACCGCGAAAGTGTTTGGAACAGAATATTCGGGTTTTGTGCAAAGTCTACAGGTGAGACTAGGTATGTGGGTGCGGCAAGGAATATTCCCATGAGACAGGTGTGAAGAAAACCAAGTCCTATCGTGCTTCGGACACAACCAAGGACCGGCCGTGTACTTGTCATTTGGCATGTCTCCTTTTGGACCTTGCACAGTGCCATGATTTGGCTGTGGCCCAGCTGGACTGCGATACGACGTTGGTCGGGCGTCCAGTACGTCCAGACCAACACTGGGAAGCCTGCCTGAACCCATGCCGGTCGAATTGTGAGCTTGAGGTCGCGGCAGCCACTAGATTGCTTTGGCGGTTTTGTTGTGCTGTATGTGTTTGGCACACTGATCTTGAGGATAGCGGCCGATTGTTTGATGTGCTGCGATACTTGCTTGATCTTCATCAGATGGTCAACGTCAGCGTTGACAAGAATGGCTTTGACCTTGAAGTCTGCAAGGATATGCAGCAAAGCCGGCGCATCCTCATTCAACCGGTTCTGATCAATTGGCGCCATTGGTATGCAAACAGCTCCAAGCACAAAACATGCATGAACGGCATAAACGAATTCTTCTGAATGCGTGTACATCAGAAGGAGATGATCACCGGCCTGGACCTTGACCTTGTTCTTCAGGTACATTGCTACGCCCGCAACCTTTTGATCAAACTTCTTCCAGTTGACGCCTTTGCCCT